TTTCGTTCACGCAATACAGAATTCCCAAAATGAAATTTCTATGCATCTACAAATAGCGTAAAGCGCGATTGAGGTATTATTTCTTGGGTAAGTTATGCATTATAAGAATAATACATAAATTTGTTGTATGATACTACCTCATTTTACTGTGGTTACGTAATAGCCGAATAGCCGATCGTTCGCATCCGTTCTTTCGGTTGTTCATTGCCTCAACAGTCGAGTCACTCGCCTTTCATCATTCCGAAGTAGAAAAGCAAGTGCCAGTTTGTGAGAAAGCCACACCACCCTGTAGTGGTACACAGAAATGGAGGTAGATTGGCGCCGCACCACAGGCAGCATATAAAGAAGGGCCCAACAAATGGCGCCTAGTAATGAAAGTGTAAGAAGGACTAACATCACACAAGTTCGAGACTTCGAGACTTTTCCTTTTTTTCAGCGATCAGAATATTATTTTCATAGGGATGGCAAGTGCTAACTCTTAGACAGAGCCAACTTCCATCTTCAGTACACAATTTACTTATCATCTGTGATTGACTGGCCTTTCCTTTCGTACACTATAGTATTGGTTAATAAAGTAGCAACTCTTTCTAAAAAAATTCGCCCCTACCTTTCCTTGCTTGTACGGAATGGAAACGTTGTTCGAACGAAGAATTAAGGGTGACAGTAGGACAGCATACAGCAGCTTAGGCCTAGGCGCTTAATGAAGGCTAAATTTGGTGTGAGAAATGAATCAATTCTCTTTCGGACGCAGAGCACCTCGATAAGTATGAGGTTCGACCTGTCAGACAACTGTTTGCGCTTACACCTGTTACTCTAGCCAGGGAACTTATCGGGTGACAGCTGAAACAAGGCAGACGTCGGCCTAGCGGCTAGTATGCACCGTAGGTGAAGAATTAGAAGGCAGATGTCGAAGTCGAGCTGAACATTTCCTTCTATGATACAGTAATGTGAGCTTCATTACAGAAGTGTTGACAAGCTGGAAATACAGTGGATCTTAAAAACTGCTTATGCAGATGACTCACAGTGATGGTTTGAGAAAACACAACAACAGCAACACACGCTGTAGATTGCTAAGAAAGGTAGTTCGCTGCACATTCGGCGGAGTTTCAAAAGTTCGTTGCCCTGAGCTCGTTCTGTTGTGTATCATGGCACGAATGCAATGCTCCAGCTGTATGCTTGAATTTCCTCGAATTGTTTACTAGGTTCACTTATTTGAAGGTGTCTTCCACACTGTTACCTTACAAATAATATTTATTCTCAAGTTTTAATAAAAGTTATTAATTACACGCAGTACAGTACTACCTGGACGAGATTTCTCTTGACTGCCATTGTCTTATAGTTCGTCCCTCTCCCAGGGTTCAATTTTATGCTATGGGATTCCTGAAACAACTGGATGAGTAAAACGTAGCAACTACTTAGCTGCCTAGTTCTGTTATTTCCTATATTAGGTAGGACGCGTAAGTTCTCAAAAGTACATGATATTCGAAACAAAGGTACGCAGACGTATGTGAAAACCGGACGCATTGGAGCTAAGGAGAAATGGGCATTTCTCAGAAGATTCAGAGTTTTTCTCTCACTTGATTCGGCGACTTCATATCCACCAAAATTCTTGGCAGGAATGGAATTTGGCTAATTAGTTCGGATCTTGTGTGCAACGGATTCTGATTAAGCTTCACATTTAAGAA